GTTGTAGATGTGTTTTTTTTTTCTCTGGGATTTTATCAGATATTACCTATAATTTAATAAAAGTGGGAAAATCTGTAAAAAAAAAAAAAAAAAAACCCAAGTAAAAAAATTATGAACATTTTTCCATCATAAAAAATATGTAATTTTACAGTAAAAATATTTTTTGATGTGGACATTATTTACAGTTTGACCAGTTTATTTATTTATTGTTTGGTTGTTTTTTTAAATTTTTTTTATTTTTTACAGTTAACATATAAATCAATAACCTTTCTTTCTGTGATTTTACTGATTATCGTGTGATGTAACACAACAGGGAAAATCTGTAAAATAACAGTAAATTGTTAAAAATGACAGCTTTTTTAAGATCTTTTTTTACAGTGTTGGATTCAAGTCCATGCCTATGATTAACCATTAGTATAATGATAACACCATTGTACTAACTATAGCTGTTCATTCTACTGGTTTAAACTGAGGCCGGTGTGATCAATCATCTGCTGTCTGTTCCTGTTGTTCCTGAGGTACAATAGTGGAGGACATCCAGCCGTACAGAACACCTGCACACCAACACAAAGGTGTCCCCAAAGGTGAAATAGAGGCAGTTTTATTTTGACAGTCTCTCTGTCTCCCTCTCATGAATGATTCAGAGAACAGTTCCTCTACCTGCTTCTCTCTGTAAAGAGTCGCTAAGCAACTGAAATGGTATCCCAGGCCTTGAAAACCACAGGAACCGAGTCCCAGTGCCCCCAACGTGCACACACACACACTCTCACAAACACACACACACACAAGGACACACAGCTGAATGTCTGTGATCTGTGCTTCCTGCAGGTCAGTGGACTCACCGGGGGGATTATGTCCAAACCTTCGTCCAACGTTAAGGCCCTTCAGGTAAAACCTTTTCTCGTCTGTGTGCACAGCGGTGAGGTGGATGTGCAACTTTGTGTGTGTGTGTGTGAAACTTTGTTAAAGCGAAGGCAGGATGCAAGACAAACGCTTTTAGCAAGAACTCAGCCGACGCTCGCTTCCACATTAAAGTATTTATTCGTGAATACAGAGTTCCGACTGTGCATATGCAGTATCAAGGCGTTATTAGTGCAGAGTTTCAGCGAGGCGAACATATGCAGAGCGGTCGGTTTTGTGGCGATGGCTTCGTGTGTGCATGTCAGAGAAGGTTTCCTCCGTCGTCTCGCTCTCTCCTCATTGTGCTCGTTTTCATGTCTAACCATGGGGTAGGCATCAGGACAGTGCAGTACAAACATGAGGTTCGTAGTTCAGTCTCCAGCAAAGAGTCCATCATTAGTTTATCACAAACAACAACAACAACAGCAGCTTCACATTATAAACATCTGAATAAAAAAAAACAAAACAACTCTCTTACATATAGGGTGCTTTGCACGTTCATCTTTTACTTATATTAGCTTTAAACATCTTCAAAAGCACATCTTAAATTATTCTCATACAGCTATTGCTTTCCATTTAACCACCACAGTGTGAAAACCCATAAACGTACAGGTTAAAACCATCATTTTAGTTGGTTTAAACTAGCTTCAAAGGCTGAAAATGGAAAACTGACATGTCTTGTACCCTATCAGTGTGTTCTACTTGTTTGTTGGGGCTTTTATTTTCCAGTGACACAGTACATGACTGTTACAGTTTAACACCACTTTATCACAATTTTTAACATCTGCTGTTAAAGTGGGACTAATTATACACATCAAAGTCTGTTTTAAGTGTTGGGAGTATCAGTAAATGTGTGGAAAATGGTTGTATAAAGCCTTTCAGGGTTGCACAAGGTCACTTCAGTTGGGTTTGGATTGAAATGTAAAATAATTTCTGTTGTGGCTAGCAGCTGGAGGCGACCATAGACTGTAAAGATGGCCGTAGTGACCATGACTACCCTTCTGAAACCTTAAATTTGGCATTTTGTCATCTTGATTTTTGGATATGACTCGACCACCTATCAATCTGAAAGTAGCCCCGTCCTAAAACGTACCTTCCTTTATTGTCTTTTTTACTCTAAATGGGACCATAATTTACAAATCGAACATCATGCAGTCTTCAAAAAGTCTTGAAACAAGAAACTGAGACCAAAAAACTCAAGAGGAAAATGTTTACAGAAGTAACAGACGAAGGGAGAAGTATGGTCATTTTCTCTATTCTATTTCTTTTTGCTAACCAGAGCAGTCGCCCCCTGCTGGCCGTTAAAAAGAACGCAGCTTTAAGGCACTTCCATGTTGGCTTCCCTTTTCACACCTGGAGGCTACGTCCATCTTTTACGTACAGTCTATGGTCGCTACTCGCATTTCGCACCTGAATGAGATAAGACGAGCTTTATTGTTCCCACGGGGGGGATAGTCGTTAGAGCAGCAGTAAGATGTAGACGAAAGAAGGGAGGTATCGAGCATAGCTGAAGAGAAAGAAGCTGTGCATTGTAGGAAACAAGACAGGAAGTGATGTCTCCGGTTGAGCTGTCTGAAAATCTTACCAGAGTGCAGTAATAGATGGTTTTACAAGCAGCAGCAAAAACAGGTTTTCACAACGATCTCAGCACTAAATTGTGTCTTCAATTTAAATTTCAGAAGGGAAACCAGCGACTGTCATGTTAAAGTTAAGGGTTGAAACTTGTACAAACATCAGTGAGGTCCTTTATCGACACTTAAACGTACTCCTGATGATTAAAGACGCAACGGATGCTTGAATTTGGCAAATATCTTCCACCAGTAAGCATTTAGAGTAAAATCAAGTCCGTTTGATGTTCGAGCTTTACAGATACGAGGATTATGTCTTGTTCAAATATAGTCCGTTAGTGTTTCTTGTTCCAACATATACCCTGTTGCCCCTAAAAGTCTGGGGTCTCCCTTCTTATCGCAGCGTTCCCTTCATGTTCACGGAACACCTTCAGCAAGTTTAGTCAGCAGGGGAGCTTAAAGGATTAGCTTCCAAAAAAAAAAGGGATTGATCGAAATGCAGCCGGTTACACTCTGTAGTTCAATATCAGCCTCCTTCCAGACACTACCTTTATATGGCTCCACAAAGCAAGCCATTAAATTCCCCCCTAAATACTTTGTGTGGCGGAGTTTGGGTCCAATATTTACTTCCGTCGCACCTATTGTTCACTGCCAACGCTTGGCTGCACAAATACCCCAAAGCAGTCGAATCAGCTGTGGGCGTTGTTGGTGAGAAGATTAAAGACGATGAAAAAGTAGATATTTAGAGCTTCAGCGCAGTTGTTCGGATACGAAACACCTGGAGTGTGCTGTTTATGCTGCTTGCTAACGGCTCAGGAGATGATAAATGACATATATTTGACATAGCAGCTTTGGGTTGTAGAAATTTGTCTCAGCCAGGCATCCGTTGGTTTCCATTGACGTCAGATAATAAGCAACAAGTGCGAATTTTATCCAAATATGTTCAGAATTGTTGGGACTTTTCAACTTTAGGCAACAAACACAGCTCCCTGCTTCAATGAGTGGGATTTTTATGGCTTTAGGAAACCAATGGAAAACCAACTGATGCCTGAAACGGTGTCTGTAAAAAGGATCTTTAAAGGTAAAATTGATTTGTAGCTAAAGCACTTTACCTTGGGATACGGAGGTGAATTACATTTATTTATGTGGCATCATTTCACAGCAGAAACCACCTAAGGACGCCGCACATAGTAAAGACCGAGCAATATTACATAATAGAGAGAAACCCATCCATCCATCCATCCATCCATTATCTATACACCGCTTAATCCTCACTAGAGTCGTGGGGGCTGGAGTCTATCCCAGCTGACTCAGGGTGAAGGCAGGGGACACCCTGGACAGGTCACCAGTCTATCACAGGGCTACAATTAGAGACAGACAACCAAGCACACTCACATTCACACCTATGGACAATTTAGAATCACCAATTAACCTCAGCATGTTTTGACTGTGTGGGAGGAAGCCGGAGAACCCGGAGAGAACCCACGCTGCACGGGGAGAACCTGCAAACTCAGAAAGATCACTGGGATGCGAATCGGTGACTTACTTGCTGCGAGGCAACGATGCTAACCAAGAGAAATCCAACAAATGCAATAATTTACTTTGAGCAATTGGTAAAAGTGGGGGTGACGACACATCTCTTAACATCTCTTTTAAATTGAAGACACCTCTGGCAGAACCAGTCTCAGGGAGAGCAGCCATCTGCCTCAACCAGTTGGGGTGAGGGAAGAGCAGTCATATGTATTTGAACTGTTTGGTTCATGAAGTTCAGTTCACTATGATGAGCCACAACGTCAGCTAATATCTCTGTACTTGCAAACCTGGAATGAGAACTGTGCAGCAGTATTTCAGATCCTGCGTGCATGAAGGGTCATCCTATACAGGTCGGCAAACAGCGAGCCATCTGAGGAGTCTTTATGATGATGCGACCGCTTCTGCTAACAAGTAGCAACAAAATAAAACCACGATCCTGTCATAAACTCTATCTTTCCGTTAATAACGTGGAGGAGGCTGACATGGAATTACAGCATGTGGGTTTTTTGTTTCCTTCTAAATGGATTTTGAAGCATAATGGCTGAATTTCCAATCTGGGTTGAATTGTTTCTGTAATCTTTGGTTGCGCCGGAGGGTTGGAGGGGGGGGAATGTCAGAAGATGATTGCTGACGCTAAGCATAAAAACAGCAAACAATTCCAGCCAAAGCAACATTACAGTAATACGAACCTCAGCTAACATGCTGTGAAGGAGCCCATTTGTTTTTCTCTCTCCCTTCTCCGATCTTAAAACCTTAACGTCTATAAAATACGCGACTCTTTCTCGTAGAGCAACGTCCGCTGACATCGGTGACACACAGCACACTCCCACTCTGTACAGCTGTACAATATGAGCTTATATACATTACATTACAGTACAAAACGACACACATCGAATCCAAGTGACGGGACGTCGGGGCAGGCAGCAGTAGAACATCGCGTTAGCAGGCAGGTCGCTGAGCTCTGTCGGTGTGTGTGTGAGTGTGTGTGTGTGTGTGTGTGAGTGTGTGTGTGTGTGTGTCCCAATTTTCATAAAGACATAAGCCCCTTTTAGGGACATGATACTAACCAGGAAATAGTGGTCATAACCAAAACAGGGGGTTTTGAGGAACAAGGAGGAGCACACACACACACACACACACATAACCACACACACACACACAAACAGACCCAGACAGGTAACTTTATTTATTTAAGTGATGAAAGGCTCTCATTGGCTGCTCTTACTGTCCGTCAGGCTAATTTGAACATCCCGATGGGAGCTCTGCGTCCAGGGGCGGGACATCCTGTGAAGAGGAGAGAGGAGACAGCAGACACAGAAGAGGTGAGACATTTACACCTGCCGGTAACTCGTGATCTCTATCTGGGTAGAGACATCCGATCGCCCCGTGTTTGTAGTTAAACCTGGTGTTAAAATGCAGCCTCCTTATCTCGATTCTTAGTTTGATCTGATGTGGATTGAGATAAAGGTTGGAGTTAGACTGATGTTTTTCTTCATAGTCTGGTCACACAGTATGTAATCATTATGTCAACACATCCAAACATGGCCCGACTCATCTGATGCCTTCTGCATTTCCCTTATCCAAATGAGTTTAATCTGAATACATGTTGCATGCTAATGCCAGATGTAAATGTTGTGCAGGAGACACACACACACTGGACTGTGAAAGCAAAACATATACATGCTGGTATCTCATAAAACACGAGTTCACAAAGTGCAGATAATGCAGGAGCGGGATACCCAGAAGGCAGCAACGATGAAGATAAAAGAAGAAACAAAAAGACTGCAGTGGCAAAAATGCATTATATCAATAATAATAATAATAAAAACCAGCAAAATAATAAAAGTAATAAAACCCTGATGGTCAAGTCAATGTTATTTTTATAGCCCATTTAAAACCTTTGAGCCAAATCGGATTAACTTTACAAATTGACCGAACACAGTTAAATATTAAGTTTCAGCATATTATTTATTGTGTACATCTTCCAAATTTAAATTTAAAGATGAAGAACCTACAATATTAATAAATGTGCTGATTTATCTGACTAATTTAAATATGCAAATGCAAAAAGCCTTGGAAAAATACCTTTAAACCATTAGATGCTGTTCATTTCTATTGTGCTAAGCTAGGTTAGCGATAATGTCAAGAACATCAATGTATTCAGGAGGATTGCTGCATTTCTTTTTAAATTGATTTAATATAATCCTTTGTTGGGTAAACTTTCTGACTATTCTTTCTTGTTGTGTTTTAATGTAAAACTATGTACAATTACTTGAAATATAACTTGGTTGTACGTGATATTAGCCTGTGGGAGATGCTAACGTTTATGTTAGCTTTGTAAAACCAAGTGAAACAGATGGAATGAAGCTAAAAAAAATATACATCTTAATAAGTCACTACTTCAAAATGCTTACAAAAAAAAAATAATTTCCTTTTATTTAACATGTTCTTGCTCATGATAAAGTGATAACAGTCCAGTTACTTCACTGAAAAACCCCAAATGCTAGTACAAAACAAGCTAATGTTTATGTGCATATTAGCTAGTTAGCAAGCAACACCTTACTAATGCTAAAATAGAGATGGAAGTTACAAGTCTTCCTAAGCAAGACTAGCAAAAATGACATATTTGCCAAGTAATATTAATATAACAACTAAGATGTTGGATTTTCAAAATGTATTTTTTAATTACAGGAAAAAGGTGACAGTGTTGGTAAATTAAGCTTTTGCTAAAGCTAGCTGTAGCTACTTCACCAGCTAGCTATAGCAATGTGTCCTTTTCAGCTGTGTTAACAGTTCTACAAACTTTACATGATATTTTCTGTGAAGTTTTAGATTTCCATCACATAATAATCTATTATAATAAAAAACTGCTCTTAAATTAATTCTGACTAAATATGTAGTCACTGTATTTTGGTTTTGGTTTGGAAAAACAGTGCAAAATTAGCACTAGCAGAGAAACTTTAGAATTTTAATTTAAATGAAATATAAATAATATGCTGATGCCGTCACTCATAGTTTCTGCTGCTGTTGGTTTTATTTTTCGTCAGGCTCATACACCAGACCAGCCCAGCGCCGCCGCCCAGACGCCGGAGGAGAAGAAAGCGATGCCGGGTGCCGTGAAGCTACCTGGGCCTGCTGTTAACCTATCAGAGCTGCAAAACGTCAAGAGTGAACTACGATGGGTCACCAAGGATTAACATGTAGGTTCCCCTGTGGTTCCCCACTGGTTTAGGTTTACCTGTATGAAGAATAGTAATAACTGAAACCCGATATGTAGAAAAGTATTAAAGTAGCAACCCTCCTCTTTGCAAACAAAACCCCCAAATAAAGAACTTTTAGTACTTCAAATAAGAAAATATTTCATTTTTTATATCTTAAATGGACTACTGGTGTCCAAATTGATCTGCAAAGTATCTCTAATTAAATCTTATTTTAGGAAAGTATGGCCTCCTACAGATTAGATTCCTGCTTCATCTTGTTTTAAAGCTCAGATCAGATTTGCTCTTGCAGTTTAAAAACACATTTAAAGTGTGACGAACTTGAACTCGTAATTTGTGTACTTGACACAATCTTTATTTGGTTACACTGAATTTTCCTTGGAAATATTTGACGTGTTTCTTTTGACGGCTTCCCGGCGCAGACAAATCGAGTTCAAAGGATCCAAAGACAAGGATGCAAATCAGAACCGGAATACAGACGGGGCATTTACAAACTGAGTCATCTGTATGATGTAAACGATGCAAATCCAATCACTGTGCAAGAAACACGTAAATGATTTTCTAACGCTACATGTGTACAGGCGTACATAGAAAGAGAGCAGCAGGCTGAGTTTGGTATTACTGATAAATGAGATGAATGACGAGGTTAACAGACAGCCGCTGTGTTCACCTCGTTATTCGTGACTCCTTCCACTTCATTCTGCACACATGGATACAACAGTAAACCACATTTATAAGGCTATAAATATGTTTATAAGAGATTCATTTTAATGATTATTTGTGTTGCAGTTTTATTGCAATTTTCTAAGATGATTTTTTAATATTTTTCCTAAATGTTTAAATCAATTAAAGTAGATTAAATATATAAAAAAAAACCTCAGTTCATCCACAATGATCATGCAGGGTAATAAAAAATAAAGCTTCATTGAATATAAATTACATTTTTTAACCAAAAAACTATATTTTATAATCTCAAAATGTGAAATTACACTCCTAAAATCACAAACATATAAACTGAAAGTACTTTACTGAATTCTTTCTTGCTACACTGTAAAACATTATCAAAAAAATCATTTAAAAAAATGAATTTCAGGTAATCTTTGTAAAATTTCAAGTGAATTCAACTTAAATTCTTTTTAAAATGTTCTAATTATAGAACACTTCAGATTGCAGAAACATGAGCTCTTCTCAATATATTAAGCAACATCATCAGCGTATTGGCAAACATGCAAAATTTAACTAGTTTGTCCAGTTTTTCCAGACGCTCTTTGTGTTTTGTCACTTAAAGAAAGATGCAAACTTGCTGTGCATTTTGGATATGCACATTTTCAATTTAATATGCATCGTTTTACTGAATTAATTTAATTTAATTTTAAGTGCACCTACAAAACTAATATTTTAACAAAGTTTTCAGCTTGTAAAAAATTGTAAAAAGTAAGAAAATCGCTTGTCACGTAAGTTCAGTGAGTTGATTATTCAATTTAAATTCTGTTAACACACATTCATACAGCATATTGAGCATTCTTATTTATAATATAAACACCAAATAAAGTGCTTGTAACACACTATCATGTAGCTGTAAGTCGATATAGTGCCGTTTTTTTTATGTATTTATTGACGACTATAACTTCTCTAAAATTTAGGCTGAAGTACAAACAGCAGCTGCAGCAATAGAAAACATGCATTAATGGGAAAAGTTTAAATTTTTAGCAAATGCTGTGCAGTAATTATACATTATAATGTGTTATAAGCCATACATTTACTATTTTTATGGTGCTTACAGAAATGTTGTCTCACCATAACTACACATACAGTGTGGCTATAGATTGGATATTAGGAAACGGAAAATGAAAGTTTTGCAGTTAATGTTTTACAGTTTAACCTAACGAGACATGAACACTGGTGTCATTATGTCTCTGAACGCTGACTCCTGTGTGGTTTCACTGCAGCTCGTCTCCACAATAATCACTTGCAGTGGTCGCAGCCCGCCACAAGGGGTCAGTGTGGCCCGCTCAAGCTTTTGTTTGGGTCAAGCAGCATGTGTGTTGATGCCTCTGTGTGTGTGTGTGTGTGTGTGTGTGGGATGGACGGGTTGAGTCAGGCGCTATATTTATACTTTACAGGAGTGTGTGTATGTTTTATAAAATGAGTGTGAGCAGTGAGGGGCAGTCTGTTCTGCGACTTTCACAGCAGGACTCAGAAACCACGATATCCAAACACTGCGGCTGCTCGGCCTGCCCTGCCCAAAGCGTGTGGGTGTGCTGCGTGGGAGACAAATGAGAGGGAGAGAGAAGAGATGGAAAAATAAAAGCCGCTTCACGTTTTAAGCTGTAAACACTTTTTCACTGGGAGAAACGACTTCAAACGGCGGCAGACGCAGCAAACCAGCGAGTGATTTTTGCAGGCGAGCCTCATGTACAGTGTTTATCTGGTAACACGAGCCAGAGAAAGAAGAGCTGCAAGACAAACACACAGAGAGCAGCTCAGAATATAGCTCAGAAAGCAGAAAACAAAGGGTGAAGTACAGAAAAAGGTTAGGATGGAGTTACTGTAACGCTGATAGATGTTATATTTTCTGCAGTACTTTGCCAAAAGTATGTGGACACCTGAAAATTAGATATTTTTAAAAACTTGGCATTAGAAAAGAAAAGAAAAGAAAAGAAATCACTTTTATTTATTGTTTAATTCCTTTTTTTATTTTCTATTTTTATCACTTTATTTTTAGGGGTTTTTTTTAAAATTATTTTTTAATTTTATTTTTTTTTAACTTATTTCTTTTTTTTCTTTTGTCACATTGCAACTGCTCACACATGTCTCACCTCTCTAATGAGTACCTCATTTATTTATTTTTTTACATTTTTTTTCTCTCTATTACTTACACTGTTATTTATAGATTAATTCCTTTTTTATTCATTTATTTTTAAAAATTACTTCATGTTTGTATTTTTTTTTTGGACTATTTTCTTAATTTTTATTTATTATTTTATTTTATTGCCTTCCCCCCCTTTTTTGGCACATGCCAGTGGGAATATTTTTTTTTATTATTATTTTTTACAACTGTTATTTATTATTTAATTCCCTTTTTAAGTATTTGCTATTTTTAACAATTTATTTTTGTATTTTTTTTTCATTTTTATTTCTTATTTTATTTAATTGATTATTAGTTTTTTCTCTTTTTCTGACTTGTTCACGCGTCTCACTGATGACTTCCTCATGTTTTTTAAAACACATTTGCCTGCTTTAACAAATTATTTTCTCACTTGATCGTCTGAGTGTCATTGTAAGAGTTCATAAACACATAATAGGAAATTTAAAAATACCATTTGTACTCAAAAAGCTGCCTGAAAATCATGCCATTGATTGAAACACTGCAAGGCAGTAATTAATTAAACGGTGTGGGAGCACAATAATGTGCAGACGCTGCCAAGATCCGTCTCTTCTGGTCCAGCACTTGCATAAAAAGAAAATAGTCTTGGATGTGTAAACCTGTTTTTTTCCTTTAGTGTTCACCTGAAATTACACCGATCCGCGGTTGCTGAACATCTTATTCTATAACTGTGGGTGTTAATCCGCTGCGATAACAGCCTCGGCTTTCTGAAGAACAATTTTCCACCAGATTTCGGAAGCTGGCTGCGTCCTGAGCATCGAGGCTGGCCGCAGACGTTGGCCGATAAGTTTGTTAGATAAAGTCTTGGTTGCAGTTTGTGTTGTTGTTCAGCGTTAAATGTGCTGGATGGGCTGGTAGACGGTAAGGTTTTACTTTATGGGAACCGAGGAGCGTTAAATAATGAAGAACAATGCAAGAGTATAAGAGCAAAGTATTATAAGTATAACTATTAAAACCAGTGTGATTTGTCACTAGCGCAGGAATACAACGCTAGAGTTTGAGCTGAGAAGCAGGTTTTTCAACCCAAATAAGCTGGAAGACAAAATCCAAACTAAAACAAAGTGGATTCCTCGTTTATTAATTTAAGAGCACAATGATTTTATGAGGTTTGTAAGCCGGCTGCAGGCGAATCTACCAATTTCAAACATGAAGCGTCAGCTAACAGGCACAAAATGCAGCACGAGCGTGTGTTTTCCCAGCTACAGACATCGTATCATGAGCCGCCACTGATGTCTGACTGCAAGCTTAAGGAGCGTCTGCGTGACACAAACTCAACTCTTTGAGGTGGAAATAAGACAGAAAATGTGGCAAACGGCGAGCGAGATCGAGCCACAGCGCGACACAGAAATGGGAAAAGAGTCAAGAGAGAGATAAGAGCAGGCAGATCTTATATTTCCTCTCAGTGTGAATAAACCTGGCCTCCTCCTCCTTGGCGTCCACACCGTCCCGGCCCTGCTGTCTGTCAGGGGTCGGCGACTCTGACTAAATCCCTCACACTGTCTTTATCTGGCTTTCTGTTTTTTTCTCTCCCCTCTCCAGGACGCTCCAGCCAGGCGGAGACGACGGCAGATTATCTTCATAGACACCAGACTTGCTCACTGCCGCTGAAGACTGGAGCAAGATCGGAAACAATAACTGCCCTCTGAAGCTTTCATTAGCTCTCCTCCAATCAGTAATCTAACAATAAAACCGGTTTATCTGGCCATGTGAGCTGATGCTGTGTTGTCACTGAATCCACATTTTTAAATTTGTACAGAGAGAGAGATGTTCTGACTCCCTTCACCTGGACCTTTAGAACTAAGATGTGTTCATACGTAATCATTTTGGACTTTAGCTAAACGCTTTAGGAGGACGACTGCTGACAATCAATCGAAATTCAAAGGAGTCCACGTGCGACTCCTCCTCTAACTCTGTGGTGACCAACTTGAAGACACTTCAGCCATTCAGCACTGATTTATACTGATGCTTTCTAATAAATGGTTCCTTTCTAAATGTTGTTTGGGGTTTAGGATCACTTGTACTGCTTGTTTGAGACGGGAGGGTTGGGATTACAATGTGTTTGTTGTTTACTGTTATGATTCCCAGAAAATGAAATCACTGCAATAAATCAGGATGGTTGTAAAAATCACACCGTCTGAAATCGTTTTTATTCGTACAAAACTGGTGTCATACAGAGTTCAACCTTTTTGTCTTGTGCCTTTAGTTTCTCAGCTTCCAGCCGTGCCATCAGCGTGGCTTTAGGGAACATGATATTGGTTGGTCGATCCACTTTGGTTCCAACATTTCGGGCGTTCCTGCTAACTTTGATGACCCCCCTGACTTTGCCTCTTCTGCCAGACTCTGATATTTATGGATTGGATTCGTTGGTATAAAGTTTGGTGACGATATTTATAGTCTCCAGAGGATGAATCACAATGCAGCTCCATTGGTTT